CTATGAAATATGGAAATAATATATGTTTAAAGTGAACTCACTGCTAAGTAGTAGACTTTCTTTATATTATTTTGCAAACGAAATACGTGTAGTAGAAAAACAGAATAATATTACTGTTTTATATTAATTAAGCTAATTAATTAATTATTGATTCATATTTGAAAAAAAAATTAATTAGTACTTTCAAAAAGTTTTGTACAGAAAACTTAACTATATACCCTTATCATACTAGGGAAACAAAATTTCAGAGATTGTGAATACCAATGTTTGTTTTAAATATTATACTAAATAATGACTTTTAAGTATGTTTAATGTTTCATAACTACCTATTTGTATTGAAAATATGAAACTAATAAACATAAGTTGACATGATATGTGTGTGTATCTGACGTTAATGACTGTCAAAGAACCTTGAAGAGTATGTTAAACAAAAATTAACAAATATATTTGTGGGTGAGAAAAACTAGAGCATTAACTGAACTTTATCATGTCAAGTTTACTACATTAAAGTCACAAGTTTCATGTTTATAGCATTTGTATAATCTAAATAATTGAACATGGTGATGTTTTATTCTGTTTTACTTTGAAAGCTTTTTAAGTATTTTATTTTAGCTTTTAATGTAAAAAACATTTCTTGTATATATCATATTAGCAACCCACTTTGAATATATAAAATTTGGGATAATATAACTGTATTTCACTGGTCTTTAAAACCCTACTAACATCAGGGTTTATTGAGATCAACCATGTGATATAGGATATTTTTGTTTAAATTTTCACATTTGCTTAAATATATAAATTTGACTTCATGTTCATTTTTTTTTTCACAGACTATGTCAGAGGTGTTGTAAGAGCTTCCTTCCAATCCAACTGAACAAAAGACGGATATATTTATCATTTCAACATTATTCAACATTAAATTCACAGGAGTCAGGGGCTATTTTGAAACTGCAATTTAATCTAAAATGGTATTATATTTCAAGTACATATACTCACGTACTGATCATTGATGGATAACATTCCAAGACTCAGAAATTATCTTTGTACAATGCAGTTAAATAAGTAATCATGAGAAACCCATATCAAGAATGATTAGAGTTTTTATAATAAATCATCACTGGTAGAGAGTAGAAAGAATGAAATATTATTGTAAATCATTACATATACTTTAAAAGTTTAATCCACAATCGTACTGTTGATATAATGTTTTTTGAAGATCAAGAATATTGTGCCGTGAAAACTATTGAATTCTCATATCTATCACTTATCTACAAAATCGGGCTATAAGTAGTTCTTTAACAACTATTTTCATAAGGACATAGCGTACACATTCTCTTATGAGTGCTTATTTGTCTCGTTGTTTAGCGCAAAGCTCAAAACGAACAATTTGCCACTGTATTCACTGCAGGAAGTAACATCTGATTCATAAGCTCTCTAACTTACAGCTAATCCACCAGAGAGCAGCGTTTCTATGATATTGTTGCTTACAGAGTCACGAGAAAACCTTTAAACGAAATATAATACAGTTTATCTCTTTAATCACTTTTATATGCTTTTTTAACATAAAAACAGTTAATTACTTTTTGATAAGTTCTTTACACTGATTGTTATGTGTATCATCTCGTGTTTGCTTATAACATGTGAAAACAACAGCAAATTGAAAAGTTAACCTCAAATGCAAATTAAATTATTGACATTTATCATATTCAAATCGTGTATATGTATATGTTCGTGTAAAAAGTTGAAAAATAAAAACACTGCTTGGGTGTAGGCGTTTGCAAACAGAATTTTGTGGATCATCGGTAAGTCAGCTTATATCACTAAAACTCGAGTTTCGATACTCATGGTGGGTTCAACACAGGCAGCCCATTGTATACGTTTGCTCTTAGGAACAAACACGTTCTCTTGAAATATGTTACATTAAATTTTCAATTTTGCGTTTGGTGTAAATAAAATAAATAATATCATCATTAACTTTACGGCCGATAAATATCAGTAGCACTAATTTTAATCCATTGGTGAAGAACGTTTATGTTGAAGAAAAAATTAGGCTATTTAGGCCTAGGAAAAAGTGTCAGACTAAAACACGCCAGGGCTTAATATACAAAGTTTTATCGCTTGCAATACTCTGAAAATTCATTTTTTAACTTATACATTTGTAAAATATCAAAAACTTTAGACTGTTTTGTCAGTTGTCAGGGTTATCAAACAAATAGCGAAATGACTAAGACAACATTTTATATCTTGATACAAACATACTTTTATGCCTACGAGGTTTGGTTTTATTATTTCCTCTAGTTTTAAAAATGTATAGTTTTGAATTATTTTATAATGTTATCAGTTTGTTTGAGCATCATTTCTAGATTTTGATGAAAAACAGTATTTTTTGTGTATTTTTGGCATCTATTGCAAGTGGTCCTTGCTAAGAATTTGGACCTACGTATATATATTGATATTATATTTAAATCTGTTTCATATAGAATTGTCCATGTGAAAACATTGCTTCTGGAAAAAATATTCTTACATCGTCAAATTTCTCACCTTGCGAGTTATTCTTTGTGATGGCAAAGAAATGGAGGGTTAAAGGTAAGTGCATAAGCTTAAAACATTTAATAAAAAACGCTTATAAAAATTGAAATACATTTTTAATTTTTTGTTTGTTTGGAATTAAGCTCAAAGCTACACAATGGGATATCTGTGCTCTGCCCACCACGGGTATCGAAACACGGTTTCTAGCGTTACAAATTCGCAGACATACCGCTGTGCTTTTAAACTTATCGAAGATGAAAAACATCAAGAAAATGTATTATGGCGCCATCTATTGTTTTATAAAGATATATTGCGTTTCACACAGACAGTTATTGATGTTTATTCTTAACTCTGTTTAGCGTAAACTGGAGTTTATTACCAGATAAATAAAATAACGGCCTATATTTCTAGAAAGCATCTTTATTAGCTCAATATTTTGTTATTACAGCTTCACAAGCTCCTGATAAAGTTGTAATAGTGAAATATTAGATAATAAAGATTCATTTTGTAGATATAGGACATTATTTTGGGAACATATCAGAAATATTTATCTTCCAAATCCCAATAATAAATCATGTTTCATCTGTTTGCTTTTCAGTAACAGTGGATCAGCGGAATGTTTATGGATTTATAAATCTAAAATGCTGCTTTCTTATATCTATATATTATTTTTGAATTTCACTCATGAAAAGTGTCGATGTTTGGTTAAAAGTAACAAATCTTTTAATAAAATATTATTATCACAAATTTCGCTACAATGAAGAACCAAAAGCAATTTACTTAACAATATTTTAATCTGTTGAAGAAACGTATAATGTTTCGATAAATGCATGCTTTCGATAGCTGTCGATATAATTAAGTCTAACTAAAGAACAGTTATACGTAAGGCGCGGTGGTGAAATCGTTAAGTGCGCGCTAATGAAATGAACGTTAGAGGGTTCGAATCCAGTAAGAATAAGTGTTATGTAAAATATTATTAACTTAATTGGTTATTGTGGTGTTAAATATAACGCAAGGCCCAGCAGGAAGAATATAAACGTTATGTTATCTTCCTTCCTAGAGCTTTGCAATAAATATTGAGTATGTTTGAGTGACTGTTCTTGTTTCAAAGAAGAGATTCATAGGTGTACTCGCACATTTTTAATATACAGATTTGATAACCAGGAACCCACTTTGAGACTAATAATGTTTGGTTTACTGACAACAAAGAGTACTGTCGATTCTATTTGTTTAATACGAACTTTCTCAAAGTACCGGAAAGTGACTTTTTTAAGAGAAATTTTGTTGCAAAAATTTATCATTTCACAAAACAATATTTCTACTACATGATATGGAAAATAATGTACAATACTTTAAAAGCTGGGTAGAAGATTAAGATGTAAAATGTGTACTTGAAGTTAAAAACTCAGTCACGCGGGATATAGTTTGTGGTTCAACACAGTACGAATCACTTGGACAGAGATATTCATGGAGATAATAAATCATGTTTCATCTGTTTGCTTTTCAGTAACAGTGGATCAGCGGAATGTTTATAGATTTATAAGTCTAAAATGCTGGTTTCTTATATCTATATATTAGTTTTTAATTTCACTCATGAAAAGTGTCGATGTTTGGTTAGAAATAATAAATCTTTTAATAAAATATTATTATTACAAATTTCTCTACAATAAAGAACCACAGCCCTCAACGTGGGATCCTGGTCATCGAATTTGATATCAAAAATGTTCGAGTACCTATAATAATCTATTCTTTGAAAGACGAACAGTCAATTACAATACTCAATATCTTTTGCAAAGCTCTAGGAAGGAAGATAACATAACGTTTATATTCTTCCTGCTGGGCCTTGCGTTATATTTAACATCACAATACGCAATTAAGTCAAGAATATTTTACATAACACTTATTCTTACTGGATTCGAACCCTCTAACGTTCATTTCATTAGCGCGCACTTAACGATTTCACCACCGCGCCTTACGTATAACTGTTCTTTAGTTAGACTTAATTATATCTACTTACGGCAAAGTGTAACCTCGATTTTATTTGGCTAATACGAATTTTCTCAAAGTACCGGAAAGTGACTGTTTGTAAGAGAAGTTTAGTTTCTTATTTCACGAAACAATATCTCTACTATATGATATAGAAGATAATGTACAATACTTTAAAAGCTGGGTAGAAGATTAAGATGTAAAATGTGTACTTCAAGTTAAAAACTCAGTCACGCGGGATATAGTTTGTGGTTCAACACAGTACGAATCACTCTGTTGGACAGAAATTTTCAGGGAGATACAAGCCTACATGAGAATAATGGAGGTAATATAACCGCGGTTACTTATGTCGTTCAACTTGAGAAGGATGTTGAATCATTATCGATCCTGATGATGATAGAAAGTCAAATACCAGTTGGGCCTAGCGACAACTGTCATGGACACCGAAGAACGAAACTAATTTCGACTGCAGCAAGAAATATTTTATCGGAATGGCCTTATGATGGTAGTCATACACAAGTAAGTATAATCATCCCATAAATAATACAAGGAAATAGAAAAGGCCTAAAAAAATATGAACACGGTACTAAGCGTAAGAGTAAGCACGATACCATTCGTACTTGTTAAACTGTGTAGGTATTTTAAGTCAACTTTCTTTATCATACAGAATACAACTGAGTACGAGTAAAAATGTATGTCAAACAACACATCGTGTAATAATCATGAAGACAGAGGGCGCTATATATGTTTTCATGTGTGGTTTCTTGCGTGACATGATGTTGACTATCACAACGCATTTATTAATGTCCAGAAAAAACTGACACATTGAACACCTGCAAATGACTACGAATGTTTTTTTGTCTCCTGAGCTTAGAAAAAAAACATTCAAATATCTTATGGAATCTGGACCTTCACCGTAAAGATTACAAAGGCTTATCGAAATGATATCTAACTTTAGGCTAAACAGTAAAGAATGGTTTCGGTGCAATATTATATATATATTTAATACTTCTAATATACATACACTCATATAAATCTGGGTATATCCAGTAAACAACGGAAATGGCACTAAGTATGCCCTTCTCCTTAACAGAAAACGTACAATTAAATTTTACATGTAACGTATAACAAACCTAAAAGCAGTATATGTTTAGTTGTTATGATTACGTGTGAAACATACAGGTGGTGATTAAGTAGTCAATATGGGGGCCACTTAATTGTTTAGTTACGGGATTCAAACCTGCAACTCACAGACTGCAAGTTGATCCCCCTAATTACTATGCCATACCAGGCTCTTGAGGTAATATTTTCTGAAGGATTTGTTATTATGGTTCTATAAATGTTTACATTATCAGTTCTTCAGGTATTTTCTACATGTTTAGTTATCATGTTTCTAGAAATGTTTACGTTATCAATTCTTCAGGTATTATTTTCTAATTGTTTAGTTATTGTGGTTCTATAAATGTTTAAATTATCAGTTCTTCAGGTATTTTCTACATGTTTAGTTATCATGTTTACATTATCAGTCCTTCAGGTATTTTCTACATGTTTAGTTATTGTGGTTCTATAAATGTTTACATTATCAGTTCTTCAGGTATTATTTTCTACTTGTTTAGTTATTATGGTTCTATAAATATTTACATTATCAGTTCTTCAGGTATTATTTTCTACATGTTTAGTTATTATGTTTCTAGAAATGTTTACATTATCTTCAGGTATTATTTTCTACATGTTTAGTTATCATGTTTCTAGAAATGTTTACATTATCTTCAAGTATTATTTTCAGTATTTAATATCAAGAATATTAATTCAAATGTACTTTAAATATAGTCATCCTGCATTTAAACTATATAACATTTTGTATGTTTATAACGTTTCTTAGTGGTTTTGAAACGTTTATGGTATTTTATCAAACTTCATAGGAATAATTCGTGAGATTATTTTGGTAAACTGAAATACTTAGACCTTACAATTACAAGTTTGCAATAGAGAAGCTATCATTATGTAATATAACTTGCACCATAACAAGCCAAGAACTACGGTTTACAACATTCAAAAACTTTGTTTCTTTCTCTTTGTTAATTCTTTAATTATTTTTGGTCAAGTTTATTGTGTTTATACACAAGACTTACACAATACATTAAGAAAAAAGAATAAAATCAAACTTTGGGTAAGAGAATTTTATTTGCATATACTGGGCTTTGCCCAACAACTTGAATGAAAGTAAAAGGAAATAAAACAAATAAAAAAATATAGTTTGAAGCCATTCCAATTCTAAGAACTTACATATGAAATCAATATGTGTCAACCACAATGCACCTGCCACATCCAGTGCCAATGAGGCTTTTCACCCAATACCGGAGCTCCTCAGGCAGGCTCAGATACAGCAGTATCACCTTGGTCTACATCAGGTGAGCTGTGTATTATGTCCTTTACTTATTGAATAACCTATATATACATACCTCCTTATCTTTCTAACAGTTTCAGACTGTTCATCGGAATCTGGAATCCAGATTTTTTTTTTTTCTTTGCACTTCTGTAATGGCTTCAGAAGATGACCAGACCAGACCACCCAGAGGAGGTTTGTGTGTTGAAACTGGTACAAAACTGATACTCGAGAACCTTTCAATTCTGTTTTAAATCTTTAATAATTAGTCAGCATGCGTATAATTTGAAAGACTCCACAAAACTAAACATGTATTTCAATGAATCCAGTTTATAACTTTATTTCAGGAAGTCACCAAAAATAACAATAAAGGAATTCATATTGCTTCGAGCACCTCTAAACTCCATCCTTACAGATTGTAGTTATTCGTGGAAGTTTTTTTTACTGCAAGTCTGCTTATTACTATAACTTAAGTCCTAACTCAGACTAATACCTATGGAATGACATATTTCTACAAAGTTTAATAGTTTTTAAAACATATTTTCAGAATTTAGAACTGGGAACAAGTATGTTTTGAAACAGTGATGTAAATAATGAACTTGATAAAATCACAACAATGACATTTCTGCGATGGTGATTTGTTTTTCTAAAAACAGAATTTAAAATACTTGATAAACCTAGTGACCAACCGGTATTCCAAACATTTACATTTTATTAACGGCACATATGAACAATTTCTACAAGTGAGAGATACAAAATAAAACACTGCTAATGTAGTTAAAAGAAAAGAAAGAAAGAAAAAAGCTCTCTTCTATAAGATTTACTTATCATCCAATCAGATTTGTGCTTTTTTCAGTCAAGGTGATTGTCTTGATTTTCTGGATTGGAACGTTCGCTAGGAGACTGTTCTTTGTTCGATCTGCTTCGTTCTCGATCCTGTCCGGGCGAACGAGAGTGGGATTTCGAGTATGACCGAGACCTAAGAAGAACATTTAATTATCAGTAAAATGTACAAGTTAGATAGAAAGGATCGAGTAAACTCTTTATTTCAGAACAAGAAAAGTTAAACAATCTCTCTTTATATATATTTTAACAGTAAGAATTACCCTCTCACTATGGGTTTTCAGGGGTCAAAGGGTATGTCATCACGTTTGTAGACTTACATTTAAAATTTTATTGAACTACTATTTTATGAATGTATGTCGGTAAGTTCGGTATCACATTGTAGATTATAATTTAAATTTTAGTATCATACATTAGTTAATTTCTTAACTTAAACGTAAATATTTAAAAAAATCCTAAATATCGATTTTTTTTGTGTGTCACGTGGTATGTTTCATACAAATTAGATGTTTGTGATGTCCAAATACAAAGTCTATAGTTTCTTACAAATTAGATTGCGATATTAACAAGCTAGAATATAAAATAAGAACTTCCTGTCTTTTCTATTTCCTAAGATATTAATATTGAATCAACCAAGGCGGCCCCAATTTCTGAAAATACTTGCTCACGTACACCTATTTCACCCAGTGATGTGCGTCTAACCAAATGAAAGCTCAGAATGTCTCCATAGAGGTTTTCTCGGCAAACTCTTTCTTTTCGTGCTAGACTCCCAGCGGTAAGGTAAGACATTAGTGAGCTTGAAATTACATAATTTTTTAGACCCAGCTACGTCGTAGTTACTGAGCTTGATAAATTATAGTGGAATTGATACAGTAATTTATGATTTTTGGTTATTTCCCTTCACATCTTCCACGTGGAAAATTTGATAAGGCTTAGCAACCTATGTCAAGCAGTAAACGTGAAATGTATACGTACCTTAAAAATACCAGTGCTTACAGTTACCTCTGCAACAGAACTCAAGAAATTTTAACCTTGGTGAGTGGTCACTTACTTCCATGCATTATATCTGACCTCTTTACGGTCAGCTTTACTTCTGTGAACCTCCAACATTTTACATCAACCTTCGTGTGAAAACACTGACCTTGCTACAGTCAGTTTTACTGTCATTAGATCATTTTGATATTTTATATTTACCTCCGTGTGAGAACTCTGACCTTGCTACAGTCAGTTTTACTGTCGTAGATCTCTCTGACATTTTATATTCACCTCCATGTGAGAACTCTGACCTTGCTACAGTCAGTTTTACTGTCGTAGATCTCTCTGACATTTTATATTAACCTTCATGTGAGAACTCTGACCTTGCTACAGTCAGTTTTACTGCCGTAGATCTCTGAGATTTTATATTAACCTTCGTGTGAGAACTTTGACCTTGCTACAGTCAGTTTTACTGTCGTAGATCTCTCTGACATTTTATATTCACCTTGTGTGAGAACTCTGACCTTGCTACAGTCAGTTTTACTGCCGTAGATCTCTGAGATTTTATATTAACCTTGTGTGAGAACTCTGACCTTGCTACAGTCAGTTTTACTGTCGTAGATCTCTCTGACATTTTATATTCACCTCCATGTGAGAACTCTGACCTTGCTACAGTCAGTTTTACTGTCGTAGATCTCTCTGACATTTTATATTCACCTTGTGTGAGAACTCTGACTTTGCTACAGTCAGTTTTACTGTCGTAGATCTCTCTGACATTTTATATTCACCTCCATGTGAGAACTCTGACCTTGCTACAGTCAGTTTTACTGTCAGTAGATCTCTCTGACATTGTATATTAACCTTCATGTGAGAACTCTGACCTTGCTACAGCCAGTTTTACTGTAGTAGATCTGAGAATTTATATTAACCTTCGTGTGAGAACTCTCACCTTGCTACAGTTAGTTTTACTGTTGTAGATCTCTCTGACGTTGCTAGTCAGTTTTACTGTCATAGATCTCTGACATTTTATATTTACCTTCGAGACGGTGAACTTTTTCTTCTGCGATCCTTCGATCTTGAACGTGATCTAGAATGGCTGTATGAATGACGGCTTCGTCTTCTGGAAAAAAGAAAATTAAAAAATGTTTTACTGACTGGTCCATGTAGATGTGTGATGATGATGAATAATGCTAACTTTATAAGGGATGATGATGATGATGAATAATGCCAATTTTATAAGGGACAGCAATGATGATAATGAATAATGCACATTTTATATAGGACAGTGATGATGATGATGATGAATAATGCTAATTTTATAAGGGACAGTGATGATGATGATGAATAATGCTAATTTTATAAGGGACAGCGATGATGATGATGAATAATGCTAATTTTATAAGGGACAGCGATGATGATGATGAATAATGCTAATTTTATAAGGGACAGCGATGATGATGATGAATAATGCTAATTTTATAAGGGACAGCGATACTTTCACAAACTCTTAACCTTTATAATACTCAATTTTAACAAAAGTTATTGAACTTTGAAAAAAAGGCTGAATATTAAATTAGCACTTCAAATGTAGAAATAATACTGAGAGACTTTGTTTAAAGTATACAACTAAAACATTAACAATTCTCTCACAAATTCAGTTAAATGTTAGTTACCACGACAACTATGTAATATCCAGTGTTTGGCAAGTTAATCGAATTTCATGAAAATAACCAACCAACTGAAACTGGGGTTTCCCAACTATTACATTTCCAATTATTCCAAATATCCAAGTAATCAAAATATTACGTTTGTTTGTTGTCGAACACAAAGTTACATAATGGGCCACCTGTGCTCTGCCCAATTTTAGCCTTATAAGTTTTTTTTTTACTTTACGTCTGTTCAGCTTTGGTTATTCAGTGTGTGAGGCTCACGATTTGAGGCTCTGGGTTCAATTCCCATTGCTACTAAACTTGTTAACCCTGCCTTTGTTATGGCAAGACTACTAAGGATCACTGCCATTGATTTTGAAATGCTTCCAACTTCCCCCCTTCTTTTTCTTCTTCTAGAACTGCTGTCTAAAGGGAAGACAACTAGGTGGCACCACCAGCCACCAACATTTTTTCTCCTTCTTCTAGAACTGCTGTCTAAAGGGAAGACAACTAGGTAGCACCACCAGCCACTAACAATTTTCCTCCTTTTCTAGAACTGCTGTCTAAAGGGAAGACAACTAGGTGGCACCACCAGCCACTAACATTTTTTCTCCTTTTTCTAGATACACTGACTAGGGGGAGACACTTGTTTTATTGTTTGTACGTATTATGATTTGAGGGAAACTGTACTAATCAATTAATAAGTCTATTGATTAATCAATAACCTGATAACTTTAATCTGATAATGTCACACTTTACATGTGAATATCTCGACACATTCAAACAGATGTTTTAACAGTATAATAAACTTGGGAGATTGATAATGCCACATTTAAGTTCTTTATATTCTGCATTTTTTTGTTTAAATAAATAAACTTGCATACAGATGTTTTTCTTATAATGGGCAAAACTCCACATTAAATTCTTAACGATCTCTTTACAGATTTTTTCCATATACCTGTAATCCCTGCGGTGAGATGAACGACTGCGAGAACGTCGGCGTCTTCCTCTGTATTCATCGCGTCTACTGTTGCTGTAATAAGGAGAGCTTGATCGACGAGAGTGTTCTTTGGACCTCATTTCATTTGGAGCTAAAATTTTAAGATAGAATCCAATTTGAATAGTTGTTATCCAAAAAAGTAAAAAAAAAACTTGTTTAAGAGAATATTTAAGTGTACTAGTAAATCTAAATATTTAGGCTATAATGCTGCCCTAAGATAATGAAAATAACTTGTTTTTCAGGTTAAAACTAAACCAATCTGACTCATTAAAATCTATGATGAAGTACAAATTCTGAAGCCCTGTATATCAAACTAATACATCAAGTAAAACTTTGCCTTCAGAAATATAAATAATAACACATCCAGATTCTGGTTGAGTCAGTTGTATCTGTAATAGTAGAAAACAAATGATTAATCAAAAAAACTATGATGTAGGGAATATGAAATGATACATCATTGTTGTCCAAATTTGGTTTTTGTTTGTTGGGTAAATATTGGAATAAGTTTACTTTTATGCTAATTTCTGAAAATATGAAGAAAGTGAGATTTCACTTATTTTATTTTACATTCAGTACACATTGGATAACAATATTAGTTTGGTAGTAATCGTTCATTACATTACTTGAAGCTAAATACATTTTCTGGAAATTTGTATTTTACATCAAAAGAAAAATATGAACCATTACTACACTTTAAACTGCGTGAAGAAAACTAATTTAGGTCTTTACACTTGGAACGTAATGTTAAACACTAAATTACTATTCTTAACTTTTCATACCTTAACTTGCACTAGGTCTGGGTGTCAATTAGAACTTAGATAAAATGTTTTTGTGATTGGGCTACATCATAATTTACATCATCAGTTTTCCAAACAATTCAGTATAAAACTGAATGAGATAAAAAATCACTTCCTTTAAAGGCTATTGAGTGAAAATTTGTAATTAATTGTAACATGAGTAGATCGTGAAAAAGAACTTTTAACCTTAAACCATCCGAATCAATCAAATAAATAAACCACACATAGTAACCACAGATTAGATCAACTTACTCTTACGGTCTCCTTGAGCGAACTCAATCTCAAGTTCTCTTCCAAAAAACCTAGTTCTGTCCAGGGAATAGATGGCATCCTCAGCATCCCGCATGTCTTCAAACGTTCATCTGAGTTAAGGTGTTCAGAAGCCAATGATTTCAAAAGAACTCTTTAATTAATGAACAAAATGTGGGATGGTACATAAAAACTTTGTCACTAAAGTTTCCCTTACTAAGTACATTTTTATTTGAAAAGCAAGCTGTGCAAATGTAATGTCTTCTCAAGTATTACGTTTTAATTTTTTTTTACCCCCCACTAACTTTGAATAATATATTCAAGTATACTTTAATTACTTCTGTGACAAAAAAAAAGTATACACCAATCCTATTTAAGGTTCACGTAGCTGCATACAGTTGATAAAAGAGTATCATCCGAATTTAGCACTTGTACCTCGTGAATAAACTAGCAACAGAACGAAGAAACATCTGATTACTTGAGCTTGTTCTTTATTTCAGCACCTTGAAAGTTAACTGAATCCCCTCCCCCTATAATTCACACTAGTGAATCACAATACCTGAATATTACTTGAGCTTGTTCTTTATTTCAGCACCTTGAAAGTTGCCTTTTTTATCATTCACACCAGTAGTAATGCTCTGATGCTAAGAAACGCTTGTTATATGAGAATCATCATCTCAGTGATGCTTGACTGTAGCAACTTTCTTGACTTTTATTTGACAAGTGTACACCAATCCTAAGGTGTTTGTTTGAACTTTTCTGGAATCACTTTGACCCTTTTGCTTGACTTGCTTACTTGACCATACTTGTTTTCACTGAAATAGTCAAGATTTACTTATTTAATGACTTGTACACAAAATATTGGTGTGTGTGTGTGTCCTACTTTCCTGGGGTAGCAATTAGAGATTAGTAAAATTACTTAGAATACTAAACACAATTTACCTAAAGACAACTTTACAAACTTCTAAACTGCTTTATGTGGTTCAATTTTTTTTAATGTGACACACAAGAATTTCAGCAGGCGACTTTCTGGTGACAGGTAAAATAAAAAAAATGTCTTTGTTTAATAGACAAATTCCATAACACACACACTGTATGTAAAACAAATTTATTTTCAATCACACATTCAAGCAGGAAAAACATAATTGAAGATATTTTTACATATCATGATTTGTCGTGTAAACCTGTACTTTGTGTATGGAGTTGCAAGTTAAGAATTGTCGTTTAAATGTAAAAAGTCTTGATATAGGAGATACTAGTTGTGTGTCTTTTTCAGTCATGTGTTTTAAGTAGTTTCTCCAACATCAAGACTAATGGCAGTTTGTTCCATTAACTGCGGTTTTTATTATTCACTACCTGCTATACAGCGTTGTGTTATTTTATTATGATTCATTGTTTACTTAATAGTGATGAAACATTGTTATACGTACCATATAATTGGTTTTTATGTCACGCCTCATGAAATGTTTAGCTCTCCTGTTAAACCTAATGTCATATGGCACTAAATATTATACTTAAACAATCTTTAATTCTTTATTTGGTTAAGCACTATAGATGGATGAACATTCAAGTTGGCCTTGCAAGAGTTAAATGTTTATCAGACGTCTATATCGTACACAGTATGCTAAAGGCTAAACATAGATAGATGTTAACATTTAAACATGCAAGGTCATCTGGAGATCATCATATTTAAATGTTATATAAAAGGCATTGGTTCTTTCAAAACATAATTTACATTCTTAACGAGTATAAAACCTAAGTTTGGAGAATAATTCATTGTAATATTCTTTCCTCTTGTAGACATCACATATCATATATGAAGAATGAAATATGGACAAAAATGTGACTTCACAAGGCTTCAACGTGTACATACAGTTCTAACTGTGGGATTACAGAACAAATCATAATTATAGAGAGTAAATCTGACTGCTTCTGTACACGTATTAAACTTATCTAGATTTGTAGTAACTGTAGGACATGACAAAAACTTGTGAAATGACACTTATGATCCCAACTCTACCTTTCAAGTTGAATGAGCAGTAGCACATGGAAGGTGACACAGGAACAGTGGCTTGTGCTCTACACTTGCTTGCAACAGACCACCCTGACTGACACAGTGCTTGAAGGACTTGCACATTTTTTCCCCAGATGTTAAATTCATTTGTCTTGTTAAACTTGGATTTCATATTAGTAACTTGATCTACACCAAAACAATAACAAATACTCACGTCAACAAACTGTTACTGTACACTTTACGTAACATAACAATTAAAGTTCACCACTGAGTAGCTTGTGTGTACTGGGTATTCAAGCTACCATTAATCGTGTGTAATGTGATGAACGTGAAATACATTAATAAGCCTCATCAAAACAATCGAACTTCAAAGCCAGTGGCAACATGTTAACCAAAGAACATGAAGCTGAAGCACCAAAACATTTAAAACTTCCAAGTCAGTGGACCAATTACCTGTATTAACAAGTTAGCCAAAATAAATCCCCATCATCAACTAACCAAAACATGTAGGTAGCAAGCAAGTGTAACTTTCACATGAGTTAACACTAAAATACATGGCTACGTTGACCTGAAGCACCTGTTTTATGGTTTCTTGTATTGCAAAGAAAAACTAATGGGTGAAAGTATGAAACTTGAGTTGAATGTTCTACAGATTATGTAGCCTGTGTGAATACCTTTCTACAGATCATGTAGCCCGTGTGAATACCTTTCTACAGATCATGTAGCTTGTGCAAATACCTTTCTACAGATCACGTAGCCCGTGTGAATACCTATCTACAGATCGCATAGCTCGTGCAAATACCTTTCTACAGATCGCATAGCTCGTGCAAATACCTTTCTACAGATCGCGTACCTCGTGCATACCTTTTTACAGATCGCGTAGCTTGTGCAAATACCTTTCTACAGATCACATAGCTCGTGCAAATACCTTTCTACAGATCACGTAGCTCGTGCAAATACCTTTCTACAGATCACGTAGCTCGTGCAAATACCTTTCTACAGATCACGTAGCTCGTGCAAATACCTTTCTACAGATCACGTAGCTCGTGCAAATACCTTTCTACAGATCACGTAGCTCGTTCAAATACCTTTCTACAGATCACGTAGCTCGTGCAAATACCTTTCTACAGATCACGTAGCTCGTGCAAATACCTTTCTACAGATCACGTAGCTTGTGCAAATACCTTTCTATAGCTCATGCTAATACCTTCCTACAGATTACATAGCTTGTGCAAATACCTTTCTACAGATTACATAGCTTGTGCTAATACTTTTCTACTGATTACGTAGCCTGTGCAAATACCTTTCTACAGATTACGTAGCCTGTGCAAATACCTTTCTACAGATTACGTAGCCTGTGCAAATACCTTTCTACAGATTATGTAGCTCATGCAATTACCTTCTTGTCTGTGACATTTGTATGAATTCACAGCTTAGAAAATTCAAGATTTCATTGTCAAACTTTTGTGAAACAATTAAACATGCTTATCTCAACCGTAGATTTATATACTGAATCTTAGATCTTACCTTCTTAAAACTTTCCTATAAAATTTATTTTATAAAACTTAAGTTTTTTGTTATGACTTGAAAAACACTGCACACACTCAGTTTTGCTGTGTTTATGATCACTGTTGAACAACAAAAATAACTCTTGACCACATTAAAATTATAACAAACCCAACAATTTTTGCCAATCTGTAGATTTAATATATATATATATACATTTTAAACCCACTTTACATTCATTTCTTTCCAGTTATTTTCCTTACCCATTCAAGCAGTTACTTAACAAGGCCTAGTACAGAAGCCTTGTCAACAAAATAAAATCCGACAGGATTGTGAACACAAATTTTCCAAGTCTATTTTGCTCTGAGGAAAACGTTTTTCCTATCAAATGAGGTAAAAAGGATCAAACAAGCATATTTGCTTATCCAGTCGCTATGGGTCTTCATATGGTCAGGGGTCAAAGGGCATATCATCACATTTGTAGACTTACATTCAAAATGTTATTGAACTGCTATTTTATGAATGTATTTCGGTAAGTTCGGTATCCAACTCTAGATTATAATTCTAATATTATACATTAGTTAGTTTCTTAATTTAAAAGTAAATATTAAAACAAAATCCTAAATATCGATTTTTGTGTGTCACGTGGTATGTTTGGTTCAAATTAGATGTTTGTGATGTCCAAATACAAAGTCTATAGTTTCTTACAAATTACAAACTCAAATTACCAATATTGACAAGCTAGAATACAAAATAAGAACCTCTATTTAGTGAATTAAACTCAATGGCACTGCCCATTTCTGGAAATACTTTCTTATGTACATCTGTTTCATTCCTTCTTAGCTATATAACCAATCAAAAGTTCAGAACTTCCCAATGTGGTTTACTGGCTCTTCAAGGTGTAAAATTTCCAAGTGTCATGATATAAAAGACTGTTTAGTGTAGTTATTAATATAGTTATTATGTGAGTGAATATATCATGATTGTTTAGTTTTATTTTCATAGTAAGAGAATTAAGAGCATTTATTTTAAAGTAAACGTTATGACAAGTTTAGTTACATAACTCGGTAAGCACCGTACGTTGTGTTTATAATTCACTGATGTTGAGGCTATTGAATGTCGCATGAGATTTCTAGAAGGTGAGCAGACGATTAAGTAAAGTCATGGGAATTAGAAGTTCGGGCCAAATAAAAGTTAAACGTAAAGTTAACTGCTGTATGAGTGAAAGGCCTAGCGGTTAATATAGGCCTAACGATTAATATGTTAAGACTAAAACTAACAGTTTTAAAGAGAGATAAGAAGTATAGTTTATTCTGTCAAAGCAAGTTCTAAAGTCATTGAACCACTTGAGTGGACTTTGACAAAAGGAATAAATGATATGTGAAGTACGAGGACCAAACAAGCTGTATACGACTTTGGTAACTCAACGACAGTCTAAGTGAATTATACATGGAATACTAGTGCGATATAAATAAAGTAGTTCAGCTTGTCAACTGAAATTCTAAAGCAATTGAATAGGCCTAAGTGGACTTTTGACAACAAGAGAACTATATGTAATGTTTATGATATGCCTATTATTTCTATAGTGTAAAGGACAAGTTGTACATTCATTTAAGTAGTTTAAATATATATTATTTTGAAAACAAGGAGTGCGTGCTGCTCGCTTATTTTTTAATTTATCACCAACAAGTCACAGACACCTACTGTAGAAGAATCCTTAGCCCAACACCAATTTCATAATTTTTAGAACCAAATACACCTTGGTTACTAATCCCGATAAATTATAGTGGATTTCTGTGGCATTGATATAGTACTTTATGATTTTTTATTTCAAAAATATATATAAAACCTAAAAACAATTTTGTTTTACATCACCCAAGTGCAAAATTGGAAACGTTTTAGCAAATTACAGCAAGCATAATTTCGTGATATTTAAGCTATTTAGACTATACATTTGTGGTTTCTTGTTATAATTTGTAGTCATTCTAGAATGAAAAAAGTGTAACTTATATTTATTTCCTAATTTTTTATGGTGGTTACAAGGTCAGTCAAATCGATCAAACCCATACAGTGATACAATAGTGAAAATAACATATAAAATATAAAGTTTTTTCCTGTAAAATCCTTGATAATTATTTAGAGATTGTAAGGACTTTGCATGTAAAAATTTGAAAATTTTCTGATGCAAAAAAGGATTTTTTAGTCTTAAAATTAAAATTACTTTGCATGTTGGATAGTCAACATTCGAAAAGAAAAAAGGCACAAGAAAAACATTACTTTAAAAAAATATTAAAACTTAATAAATAAATGTAATATTTTGCACACGAAAGCCTCGTAATGTTTACTTATAATATGCAAAATCTTGTGAAGATATGTTAACTAATTTAAAAGTTATAGCATGAAAACTATAACAAGAACAAAACGATTATGATGTCGGTCTCTAGAACTGAGTCTGTAGTAAGAGTTACATGGTTTAAAAGAAAAGAAAGGGGCTTTCATTATGTGTAGATCACTAGCCCAAGACAAATGTGGTTGAAAAACAGTGCTTGGCTGGAATTGTCAAAAAATATACATCCTTTCTACTGAAATTATTAGGTCAAATAAGTGCTATTTCAACATTACTCCTAGGTAGTTACAAGAATCATATTATGCTGAGAAAAAAAAAAGAATTCCTCAAATACTAATGTTTTAGTTTGAATTGTGCTCAAATGAACATAAATTTAATCTTTATATTTAGGAATAAAATTAAAATTCTTTATGGAATAAATTTTAACCCTAAAGAATTTATTAATTTTAAATATGTTAGAGAACAACTACAAGTTCATTTGCTATAATCTTTTTCTTCAATGATGCAATTCAAGGAGGGATGCACCCACGCATAATAAAAGTCACCGTGTCTGTAAAGGGGCATGAAACCAGTTTAAGTTAAGAATGATGAAGACCTGAATTTACTAGGATTTTTGCATTTCAAATTGCTATTAAATATTTTCTTTGTGAATAATTATTTGTGTCAGATAAAAAAAATATACACTTTTGAAAATATATTATAATAAAAAGTTCACTAACTTAAAAATATGATGGACTTGCATGTTATTTATTATATAAATTCAAGGTATTTAATATAATAAAGAATTTCCATAAATGAGTTTATCTTTTCTTAATATTTGTTCTTTGTGAATATTGTAAAAGAAATGCTCTACAGTAACACAATGAATGTAATACACATGAGAAAACCCTTTAACCAGTTTGGTTCACATATTTATGTAATACACAAGAAAAAACCCTGTATTAAATTGCTTCTGAATTATAATAATGTAAGTTTTATGTTCTTCTGCAGTATAAGTTCAAATCAGAATCTACATCTTCACAGAGGAAGATACCACAAGCTTTCAAAAATTGAATAATAAATACAAAAACATAATCAAGTTAGATCGTAACCAGATAATTGTAAAGGATATTGAATATATGCAAACCCACGTGGTCTTCGTGTGTAGTAGTCCAAAGGTATGTACACATCTGAAATAGGTCCATATTTTCCAAAAAGGCTTCTAAGATCTTCTGGTCTATGAATTTTAGAAGGTAAAACTTTGAAGATTTAGCATTAATTGTGGCACTGGCATTAAGAAGTCACATAATATTATTTTATTGTTATCTTTCTATCATAATTAATGAGCTCATCCATTGCATGAGCTTGAATAATAGGTCAAACTTTATTTCTGAAATGCAAGACAATGGATTTCAGGATGGATAATTTTTTTATATGGATGTACAACTTTGTTGTTTGTTGCTTTCTGTACAAACTTGCTTAAGAATATTATTCCTTTTATTGGGGATATTAGTTACAGAACTAACTTAGGCACAGTTACGATTACATTCTAGTTAAACTGTCATTTGCTGAAAGGTAAAAGTAAAATAAATAAATGTACAATCGTGAAGGAAGGTAATTGGAGACTGGATATTATCATTATTTTCTGGAATCACAAATATTGAAATGCCCAGCATATTTCGGCATACCTATGAGCTCCTTTCACAGTTTCTATTCATTTTGTTTGCCATTCGTTTGATTCTTTTTTTTTTTGTTTAGTTATTTTATCATATTTTAGTGGACATGTGATGTATTTATTGACTATTGAGAACAAAATGTCAAAACTCAAGATTACTGAAAACAGTGAACAAGGTTTGATGGTGCAATCTACTGCAGAAGCATTCTGCAAAGTTGATATAAAGTAGAAATGGATGATTTTAGTACATTGTCTATTATGTACAATTTTTATATCATAAAAAATGTCAATGTTTTTATTTTTTCATAGGAATACATACACATATGAAAGTTTTTGTGTGTTTTGTTATATATGCCCCCCCTATTACCCCGTATAATCAAGAGTCAATTGTGGTTTTTTCAACTCTTACAGATGTGATTATCATAATAATTAGATGATTATTCAAAAAATAAAACAGAGTGATGGAAAATGACATCAAATACTGGGACATCTTTGGTACTTTTTTAAAACCACACCACTGAAAAAGCAACAGTAAAAACCTGTTCCTACTACCACAACACTTTATTTATTGTCTACCAACTATAACATATGTGTCACAAAGATTTCAAACACCTGTAATTTTGTCAGCTGTAGTCTTTCCTTCTGTTTTCTCATAACAAAAATGTTTACATTCTCCACTGTCAGATATGAGAGCTTTCATTGCTAATGGTCTACCTGATGAAATGTTACTATTTAAGCAGCCATTAATAGTTACTATCAAACAAATGTTGTCCTAATCACACCCAAGATGTTTGTAGTGTTGTAAATACTTACCGTTTCACACAGTAAAGGGGTAACTCAGTTTGATGAAACACTTCAAATTTAAGATTGAACAATTTAACTTCATATTTATCATTTGAGAAATGTATTATACAATGGTGGTATCAAATTACACAGATAATAATTCATAAATTAGCCACTGGCAAAATGTTTAAATAAAATACAATGTGAAACTTGTAATATCTGTCACAGAAAATAATTCATAACCAAGTAAAATACCTTTATGTAGTAAACAATGATGAGAAAAATACATACTATTTAAACTGTAATAAGTAATATTATATAAAACAACTACAGGTTGTACCACACATTTTTAAATTCTAAGAACTTAAGAGTGGCAATAAACACAAATATGTCAACCAAATTGCATCTGCCCAATACAAAGTTTCATAATCAAGTGAGTGATAAATTTCAAACAATCTGTTAGACCAAGAGGTGTGTACATTGTGGTCAAATTGATAGACTAGAGATAATTTAATTAGCGTACAGAAAAAATGTAAGATATAAAACGATGGGTCAAATACATTATAATATATACTTAAAGTATTAATAGAAATTAATAAAAGCCAATCAGCTGCACCTAAATAACTGCTAACATTACACTTGGTGGTGCCATAATACCCTTAGTATTTAATTGCGCATGTGAACAGCAACTATAGATGATTTGAAAATAACCCGTTTAATAGAGCCAGTCAATGCACAAACAATGACATGTTAAAAAACAAAAAACTAATTTTTAACAAAATTTGTCTCTATCAAATTAAATGCTCAGGTATGTTTTTAATGCTGCATATTTACTCATGAACTGGTTATTTGGAGCTTAAATAATTCATGCCTAGACATTACCCAAGGGTTATACCTATGGCAATAAAAATAATTTTACACACACACACACACAGTGTCAGACTGCACAAAACAAATGATAAACATTTTTTCTTTACTTTGTATATCTTTAATCCTCAGTACACATTTTTTATTTTTAACATTACTACAACAGAAGTGGCTTAGTAAATCCATTTCTTGTTAATTTTAATGTACAACTAATTTAACAGCATTAAAACATGTCAGAAACAATTAAGTACAATAACATTTGACAGCAATACAACCTCAGCCTTTATTTAAAATTATTAGGCATTTCAGGAAATAATGAAGGAATATGTCACTGTCAAAGCCATAAAAATGCAGCATAAAAAATGTTGAGATGAAGACTGGTTTGAGTTTTATCTTTAGGTTCTAGATCAACATTTTCATTTACCTTATCCAAAGTCATAAGATAAATGCCATCTGCTTATTAATGAAAATTAATATTACTACTAATAGTGTTATTGGACACAAATATATTTATGACTGTATGCTTATACTTTCTATACTATTATAGTCAAGTCTTATCTCGCTAAATGGCATAATGTTTACTAATAATAATACATATACTGTAGAATTATAATTATGAACAACGTATACTATATTAATCTTAGTATATATAGGACTTTGAAATCTTTCATTGCGAGTACATGTCACAGTTCGCACACAAGGTAAACACCCTACACTATAGTTTTAAGAACCTGTCATCAGCAAACAAAAAGAATAATTTACATATTTCTCGCTTGAAAATAGGTGAAGGTTTTCCTGCTTCCAATTACTTTCATAGCAAGCACTAACGTGGTATTTTGATATATATTTTAAACGATCACGATTAAGTGAGGCAAAAGCACAATTCCTGGTGCTAAATTAAAAATATTAAGCCTAACTGTTAGGCTTATGGTTAACTTAAGTCATACAAATTTTAGTTGTACCACATCAATTTGAATATTATGTTATTATTAGTATGTGTTTTCTATACAGATATTAATTGTTTATATATATGTTAATTTTTAATATTTACCTAGCTCCATCAGGTACATTTCTAACAAATAAAGAAGTGTTTGGCGGCCGGGAATAGCGCGACATCTTTAATAACACTCTTTGTTCTTTCAAAATTTCTCTGCCCCTGGTGCCCAAGTTCTGACCAAAGAATTCGGTTAAAAATTAATAGGATGTTAAAAACCAAAAGAAATAAATGGAAGAAAAGAAAAAACAAGAAGAAGAAAACTCTCCTAATTCTGTTTTTTTTGTCTAACAATATAAAATTTAGAATGATAAATTTATATTTCAAAAATACTTTCAAATTTATCGGACAGTCTACAGAATTATGCTCGTTTTTAGGTAAACATTTTTTCTCGGTTTACTTGTCAAATGATGTAGCGTTTGTTCATTTATAATTTTGATTTTTATACTTTTCTCTGACAGTTAATAGATCTAAACAGTTATGTTTCGTAGTTTAGTTGTTGTAAATTGGCATTTGTTTCACTGAGTTTCTTCATTCCGTTTGCACATGTGTGAGTGTCCTTATTGCATATAGACGATAATTTTTCTCAACACTGAAGTTCAAGAAATATATTTTATTTATTAAATAATCTGCTCTTCTTTATTCGCTTTATTATTCTTTATTTGTTGAATTTTGCACAAAGCAACTCGACGGCTATCTGTACTAGTAGTCCCTAATTTTAAAGTGATACACTAGAAGGAAAACAGCTAGTTAATTCCACCCATCGCAAACTGTACCGAATAGTGGATTTCGATCGTTACACGTATAACGCACCAACAGTCCCAAAGTGCTAGGCGTGATTTTTTTGGTGATAACGGGACGCGTACCACCAATTTGCTGGTCCATGCTGGACATTAATTTAATTTTTAATTTATTTGAAGTTAAGCACAAAGCTACACAATGGCCTATCTGTGCTCTGCCCACCACTGGTATCGAAACCCGGATTCTAGCGTTGTAAGTCAGCAGAAATACCTCTGTGCCGTTTATTTCTTACATTTACTGTCTGTGGTATCTTTATTCTACGCCAGGAATGGCACAAAATTAATGGACGTACACAAGGGGTTTGGTGCAAAAGTAACTTAGAAAAAGTGTTTAAAAGTCGATCAGTAAACCTGGAGTTAAAGAATTAATTAGAAAGTTACAAAAATTACAAAGGATAAGTTTAATAACGGCTTTAGAGTGCCTAATGGTGAGCAAGCAAGAAAAGAATAACAAGGAGGAGCCACTCGTTTCTGTGTACTGTACATTTCGGGTAGAGTACGGCACATGATTAGTGTGTTGTACTGTGGACGTGAGAATCCGTGGTTCCCATTACCGCTCCCAAAAAAAGTCGCTGTCCACGGTTATATCCTACTGTTCGGTCAGACAGTTCAAACGTTAGAGGCGGGTGCTGTTGATTAGCTAATTTCCTTCTGGATTTTTGTCTCAAAATTAGAGCGTGTAATCATCGAGAAGCTTTGCATGAAATTCAACAAACAAACTACGTAAGACTAAAAACAGTTGGAACGTGATCAATATTTAAGTACCTGGGAAAATAATATCAAGATTTTGTAAATAGGGGCTCAGAATAAGGAAATGTGTCAATGAAATTTGCAAATATATGACTCAAGACAAAGTTAAATGATTTATCTGTAAATAATCCATCCTTCCGATCGATCACTTATACTAAAAATTAGTTATAGTCATACCAAAAGGTAAAAACTTAATAAGCCCTTTTGTGAAGTCGAACATCCTTCTGGGTAAAAATAAATAAATAAAAATCATAGAAAAAATTAATCACGCCATAAGTTCAAAATGTGTTGTCTTTGAATAAAATCAGAACAAAAAATGTTACCGGTTAAGCTGTTTTCAACGCTTCCCTTAAGAGGAAAAAAAAACATTATTGGTTAAGTTGTTTTTGGTGTCATGGAAACCATTGCTGAAGAACATGATTTATTTTGGTGCCAAAGCGTTTTGGAATTATCTGATCTTCTATCATTTTCCTTCGATAAATGGGTTTAGTGCAAAACTTTACATGAAATACAAGGGCTTCCTCATCCAAATTTGTGGATAAAGACCCGGATATTAGCCAGACACTACGGTGCTGTCTGGTGTATACAACCTTCTCTGGTCTATAGATGGTCTTCTGGTACCAAGTACTGTTATTGGGAATAAGTGTCCTCAAGGTATTTTGTAGAATCCAAAAATTGCCATAACTCTTAAAAGGTCTGGGGGCTGGGATACGGTTTCTGCATACTAAAACATGTGGAAACCGAAAATAATCACTTTTTGGATACATCTTAGAGATATTTTCCATCATTTCAGGCAAGCTTCCAGATCTTAGTGGAACAATGAACTCGTCTATGTCAACGTTTACAATGTACTCGTATTGGTACTGATTTTTATAGGTGCAGTCTTGCAACTGGGTAAGTTGAGCGTACCTATCTCCCAAATAACCGTATTGAGGGATAGGCCAAGTAATATCCCATGGATTTATCTCGATGGATATTCCTGATCGTATTATTTTTTTAAACATATTTTTCACTCTTGAAGTAGTTTGGTAATCATAAAAAGCAAAGTGAGAAACACCCAATACCGAATAAAATGCAATAGACTCAGCAAGTTGTTGAAAATTGTCGTAAGGCCCTCTCATTGGTTGGACACACATAACCATTTTTCCTTTTCTATGCTTATAATCATGCTGTAGATTGTTGTGGACAAGAATCCATCTAGTTGGACTTACGTCGACTCCAGTTTCTACAATTGTCACCCACTTGGGCACAACGTGAGAAAATTCTTGATGTTGACAGTTTATAATAATTGTAGATTCGATCTTTCTCCATAGATCGCCAGTGACGTCTGTTCTAGAAAAATTCTTCTTATTGACGCTAAGCAGGCACTGGACGTTTGTGATACGAGGAGCCTTCAGATCGTGCCATCCAAAAATTCGAACTAGAGGTAGATGTGGTATATTGGTTCCCCTAATGGAGCGGTTGTCAAAATAAGCAGAGTAAATGTGAATGTTTGGAGGCATTTTAATCCATCTGTTAACCCAGTCAGTGACGTGTGGATTTTCTGTCGCTGAAGATCGGTTGTCTGATTTTTCCGTAGAATTTATTGTGCCAAATTGTAATGTTGTTTCTCTTCCACCGTATGAGATCGGTAAAACATACCTCACGTTTGTATGTGTTAAATTATCGTCTCCATACGAAATCATTCTGTTCCAGTAATGACGTCTCCACGCTAGTACTGGATTATGAAATGTGAGCAAAACGTAAATCAAGGAAGTTAGTAACACTAGAAGAAGAAATAGCCACTGGATTCTATATTTCATTTTCATAATCCTTTACTGCAAAAAAGATAAATAAATTAATTAATAAACAGTCAATAAACAATAGATAAATATACGTTGATACAATAATAATGTTGTTTGTTTTTTTTTAAACGCAAAGCTACACAATAGACTACTTGTACCGTGCCTATCGCGGGTATCGAAACCCGATTTTTAGCATTATAAGCCTTCATGATTACCACTTATAGTAACCATATGATCACCATAAAATCGTAGGTTAAAAACAAGTTTCATTTTTGAAGGTACATAGATATTTATTTACAACACCAATTAAAATCCTTCAATGGAGTAGAGATAAGTTTACGGACTTACAACGCTAAAATCCAGGGTTTGATTACCCCGCGCTGGACACAGCAGGTAGCCCAACGTAGCTTTGCTCTAAAAAACCCAACCAAAACAACAGCTAAGTATTGAACAGTTTTGTTTATAAATTTGGCATTAAAATCGTGTCTGGCATCTATTGTTAGTGTGCGTGCTTTTTTTTTCTTCTTGTATACTCGAATGATAAGATAATTCACCAGATTCATCGAGTTAATGACAAATTTTCCTCTACAAAAAGTATTAACGAGAACAATTGGGGCGCTCTCCGTATTGGATAGTCTCTGTTTACAGAAAAGACGTGATAAATAACCCCGAATAACCGACACAAAATAGATGTATCTCGGAATTTCCGCTCAGAGCTACACAATTGCTATCTGCACAAAGCCGTCCCTAATTTTGATTTGATAGACTAGAGGGAAGGCAGCTAGTCAACAGCACCCATCGCCAACTCTTGAGATACTCTTGGCTGACCGAATAGTGGGGTCTGGCTGTCACGAAGTACAGAACGATTCTTTGCGGTAATGGGGGTGCGAACCACATGCCCTTGGATTTACCATATGGTCATGCTGACCACTTGACAACGGCCGGTCCAAATATATCAGTGAACAGCCAAACAGACTTTAGTTAGAGGACTGATAGTTGAGAATCTGGTAACAAATGGAAGATCGTGGAGTAAGAATGAAATGATACGTTTAAATGGTTAACTGGGCTACAAAAGTAGCACGTTTAAATGGTTAACTGGGCTACTACAGTAACATCGAAATAAACGAATTTATTCTACGTACAACATAACGTTCAAATAAAAACTGCAATAATGGAACTATAACTGAAATAAAATTAAATTTATAATTTGATGAAAAATTAAAATTAAACCTGAACGTACCGCTGAGTTAGAAGAAGACTCTACACTTTACTACTTTGCTGACAAAACTCTATTTTACGAAACGGAAATAAAACAGACCTGGAAATTCACACAGAGCCAATCATCAAACTGCAGGTTTGTTCTAGGGCCAATCAGAACCACGGGGCGGAACCTGGATGTATTATATTTCTGGTTGCATGTGTCAATCACACGAGGAAGAAATATCAGAGACGAATAATTTTTTTTATTAATCCATCAGATGGATTAGAGTCAGTCCCTGAAATAAAAAATACATTCTTCACTAATCCATCAGATGGATTAGAGACAGTCCCTGAAATAAAAAATACAGTCTTCACTAATCCCTCAGATGGATTAGAGACAGTCCCTGAAATAAAAAATACAG